AGGCCGACTTGTTCTGACGAGACAGAGGGGGGGAGGCGTGCTGGGAAAAACGGAGAGCAGGCACACATAAGGATGTTGGGGCCGGGCAGGGGGCAGAGAGAGGAGAGAGAGACAGAGACAGACTCCAGGCTCCTCTGGGAAAAACAGGATGTGGGACCAGCAGACGGCATAGTGGTTACATCGCTAGACTCCCACGTGGCCGACCGTGGTTCAAGTCCAGACCCACTGGCTTGAAAATCACTCCGTGTGTGCGTGTGTGTGTGTGTGTGCGTGTGTGTGTGCGTGCGAGCCCAAGGTCCGGGGAGGGCAATGGAGGGGCTGACTGCAGCATGGCCAGCCCCTGTGGGATGATTCCTCACTTCCCCTCTCACCGTTTGTGTCTGTCTGTGTCTCCCACCTCGGAGTGTGGCGCGCATGTGCCCTAAAGCAAAAACCTCTTAAACAAACAAACAGAAAATGTAGAGGTTGGTACGACCCTTTAAGCCGTAAGATGCATGCTGTGACCCCGGCCGCCCTCTCCCGTTACCCCGACTCCCCGTAGCTGCTGTTGTAGGGATCTGCTTGCCAGCTTGCTTTAACCTGGGAAGTCTTCGTTTTCAGAACATGGAAGTTCACTACTGAGAAAAGTCTTAATGTCATGGCCAAATTTGTGGAGCAGGTGAGCACCTCTTAGTCCGAGAACTCAAAATCGGAAGTGCTCCGAACCCGGGAGGTCTTGAGCCCTGACATGACGGTACACTGAGCAATTCCACACCTGCTCTGGGCAGCCTGTCAGTCAGAACACTGTGGAAACCTCCCGAGGCTGCGCGCGGTGTGCACAGATGCACGCGGACGTCGTGTTTAGACCTGGTCTCCATCCCGAGGTGTTCTAGTCACATGTATGTAAATATTCCAAAAGAAAGCCCACAGCAACCTCAACCCAGCGCGATTAAGCCCGCGCTTCAGGTAAGGGGACCGGCGTCCGTCATTCGGGCTCAGACTTCGCAGGGCCGGGCCGGGCCGGGGCCACTTCCTCTGATGGGAAATAGATTCCCGGGCTAGCGCCTGGCCGAAGGCCTCACACTCTCAGCAAACCACCTCACAGGCCCGCGAGGAGGGAGCACACTTTCCTGGGGCAGAGGGATGCTTCCGTGAGCCTCTGGAATCCCTCACCGTGGAGGGAGTGTCCCCAGATTCTTGGCCTGAAGTCCTGACCCCCAGGTGTGCTTTGGGATGGAGCCTGGGGAGGTGGTGGGGAAGGGGGACAGCAGGAGGCCCCTCACATGGAACCCTTGCCGTGCAGAAGCAGCTTCGTGCCAGTCCGCTAGGGCGACTGGGAAGTCTGTAGCTCCGCCTTTCGTATCTGTAGCACCAGGTCGCCTGGGCGGAGGGGACGCGCCTGTTTGCTCACGTCGCTCCCCCTACACTCGTAGCCTGCTGCCACCTTTAGAAAGCCCTCGGTCCCTCAGTCACGCTGGATTTCGTTTGTGAACATGAGCTTCGGGATTCAGTTACGCCTCTTGTGTTTGTCAGTAAGGTTTGGAACATTGAGAGGCTGCAAGTTTGGAAGTCTGCTGTCCTGGTTTCCTGATGGGAGGCCCACTGGCCCCCAGAGCCACTGCCCCCATCATTCCTGACCCTGTTTCCTTTCCTCGTGGCCCAGGTGAGGCACCTGCCCATCACGTGTTGTCACGAAAGTTCTCTGCTACCGCCACCCACCTGGTCTGCTGTCTGGTGGCCACTGTCCCCGCACAGGGCAGGATGGCTGCAGGGTGGCCTCGACACACATGGCAGTCCACAAGGAGGAACCCAGTGATGCTGAAGGCTGGCGGGTGAGGTGAGAAAGCTAAGGTCAAACCAGAGAGGAAAAGTGGGAGACTGCACGTGTCTTAGTAATGAGATATGACAGTTTGTATTTTCATATTAGACAGATACCGCTCTCGTTTCTGTAATGACCTGTGAGGCTGTGCACTGTGTGGGCCAGCCACAGTGTGGTTTGGTCGTGGAGGTATAAGTCAGATCTGAAGTGAAGAAAGTGCGAGTAGTCAGAGCCGTGTGTACCCACACGTCGGGCCAGGCATGTGGGTGAGCACCAAGTAAGCGTGGGCCATCTTGGAGGACTTGCAGGGGAGAGGCTTGAATGAGGACAAAAATCGGAAGCGATACTTTTATAAAAAGGATAACTGAGAAGACTCCGGACTGATAAGCACAACTTCTGTGTCGGGAAGGAGGCTGGGAGGAAGCAGGGCAAAGCCTGTAAGCATGCCAGTGGGGCAGTGATGGCAGAACGGCTGTGCACAGGCCCCATCAGACCCAGCCACCCTGCTCCCTGGCAGAGTGATGGCGGGCCGCATGGGGAGGCAGTGGGTAGGAGCGTCCACGATTCACCACGGGGGGTGATTTCTGCCCAGAAAGCAACTCTCTGAGAGCATTTCCGGGAGTGGTAAGCAGTGAAGGAGGAACGCAGGCCAGGCAATGAGGGCGCTATGGTGAGCGAAGGTTGGTGCCTCAGGAATGGTGGCCAGGGAGGCCTTCTGGACAGAATGCATGAGCTGAGCTCCAGGCGGCGATGGGGCCTTTGTGAGATGGTCCGAGGAGATGCCCCAGAGGGAGTGCCTGGTGGGACGAGAGGGGGATGTACTTGGAGGCATGGCGTGCCAGAACCTTGGGGCGAGTCCCACCAGTTGTGCTAAAACTTCTCTAGGGCGTGGTAACTTTTGCTACCTGTTCCGTTATTTTCGACCTTCCGATAGCCACACTGAGACAGAGACACACGAATACGCCACCTTTCCTCTGTGCTACTCTTGCATTTTTAGCAGCTAGTTCAGTGCCTGGCACTCAATGACTTTTTTTTCTAAGAACACAAATTTATCATTAACAAGAAACTACAGTAAGGCAAGAAGCTTGGCGATGTCCAGTGCAGACACACCATCGCTCTAGCACGAGCAAAACATTTCCATGGGTCTGAGATGTCACAACTACAGCAAGGCAGGACTTCAGAGAATTCCGAGTGTCTGTTGGGTTCCTGGCTCCCCCAAACACAATGACAGTAATAGAAATCAGTGGCAGCTCTAACTCCATGCCTTGGTCCATTTCAGTTTCAGTGGGGAGTCTTGGGATGGCTCCCCCTTTCTCTGCTCTTGGGGTTCATCTCTGAGATTCTCTTTCTGCATTTGTCACTCCTGCCCTCTTTCCCAGGTCTGGATGTCTGTCTCTTTTTTTAGATTTGGGAAATTTTCAGCTAATATTTCCTGAAATAAACTTTCCCATGCCTTTTCCCATCTCTCTGCCTTATGGGATACACAATATACACGTTATCATCATTTTCAACATAGTTTTCTTCTTCCTGATTGTTCAGACTGTTCCTAAGTGTGTCTTTAGTTGTGGAGACTCTTCTACATGGTCTAACTTGCTGCTTGCTGCAGAACTTTTTGCTTTCTGTATTATATTCTTCATCTCTAGAATTTCTGTTTTATTCTTTTAAAAGAATCCTACTGCTATTGAATTTCTCCTACATACCGTGGAATGCCTTCTCATCGTCTGAAATTGCCTGTCTGTATTCTACTGTGTCTCACTGAGTTCTGGAATCAATGTTCTAAAACCCGTTTCTGACATTTCTATGATTCCCCGAATCTTGTCTTGTTAGTGGAGAGCTCATATGCTCCTTGAAGAGAGTCCATTCTCGTTTCCATGTGTCTCATGTCCTTGTGCTGCTGCCTAAGCATTGGTGGAACACTCCCTTCTCCCCATGAGGGGACAGGCTCCCTTGTGCCTGCGGCAGCTGCTGCCCTGTGGGGCTGCTACCTGACTGCCTGGAGCCTGTGGAGGGCCCGGGGCTCTTCCTCCAGCTGAGGTGTGAGTGCAGGTACAGACTCAAAGTTAGTAACCTTCCGCCCTGAATGGGCTGCACACCAGGGCAGCATGGTGCTGGCTGAGGGGCTGAGGTCAGGGCAGCTAGCTGTTGAGTGTGCCATTTGTGTGCGCTCCCGGGAGGTAGAGAACTCCACCCACCCCAGTGGCTGAGGCTCCCCAGCGTGGCCCTGCCTTGCAGGTGGTTTGTCGCAGGGGGAGGGAGGAAGGCTGTTGCTGGAGTAGCAGGGGCTCCACTCTGGGAAGGCTGCCCCTACACTAGCATGGGGCAGTGCTCACAGCCGCCAGCAGGTGCACAGTGACCTCTGAGTGACCTCTGAGGGGGCCTCTGTACCACTGGCAGGTGCTTGCCGATGTGCGGCTCCCGGTGGTCCTCTGCAGTGCTAGCAGGGGAGGCACCACGTGGACCCCTTGAGCACTAGTGTCGGAGGTGCGGTGGGCTGTAGCGCTAGCAGGTGCCAGTGGGCACAGAGGAGGCTGTCTGGGTGGGCCGCCATGCCATGGCCCCACCTCTTCACTCCATCTCTTCACACCAGTCCCTGGTGCCTGCCTCTTGGTCAGCTGCCTGCCTCTCCCCTGCTCTCGCCCTCGGTTCAGGGAGCTCTCCAGAAGGTGTGCTGTAGGTGGCAGGGACGGGGCAAGAAGCTGTTTCTGGAGTTTTATGACCGGGGAGGGGAGCGCCAGGGCGTGCCTGCGGTTAGTCAGGGGAGTGTCTGTTTCTTCGGTTTGTTTGGTCTTTCTGCAGGGAGAGAGGGTGTGCCCACAGACAGTGCGCTCCTTGGAGTGGTCCCCGCTGGCTGGCCACCCCCAGGAGGGGACAGGACTGCCACATTCCTGTTGTGAGCTCTCCGTGCAGCTGTCCATGCAGGCCTGCTGGGACTTGGGGACTCTGGGCCATGGAGGCCTGCAGCCCTCTGTCCTGTGTGGGCTTCCCTTCAGCATCGCTCAGTGCTCAAGTGGTCCTGTTCTGCAGCGTTTGGGGCCTGGGAGTTGGGTGTCCCAGGAGACCCCTCCCTGGAGTCTGGCAGCCCTAAGAGTCCCAGGAACTTCCTTCACTGGCCTGGCTGGTGGAGCGCTGGGCTCTGGGGCAGCTGGAGGGTCCTCTGGGGCAAGTTGGAGGCTGCCAGGGTCTCTTGCTGACCCTCTCCCAGCCAGGTCCAGCAGGCGGGAGCTTTGATTCCCTTTCCACGTCTCAGAGAACTTCAGATCCTCCCTTGGCGATTTTGGAACTGCGGTTGGGTGTGCCCGTGTGACTGCTACTGAATGTCGACGGCCGATGGACGAGACGCACGCCAGGAGCTTCCCAGCGGCCGTCCTGGCCTTCTTCGAGGTAGTGCGCGGTGCTCTGTTTGTCTGTTTGGTTTTTAATTGCCAGAGAGTGTGTGTGCTTGTAGACTTGCCAGAGAGAGAGAGAGAGAGAGGGAGGGAGTACCCCAAACGGGGCGTGGGCACACCGTAACCCCCTTGCCTCCATCTCTCCCCGCTGCCAGAACTTGAACATGTTGCACACGCCTCCAGGGCTGGGATTCATATGGCACCTGGATTCATATGGGACCTGGCACCTGGATTCATATGGGACCTGGCTTCTTTAACCACTGGGCAATGGGGCCCGCCTTTCTGTGCTCTTACACCGTGGGGACACTGCCCTTCTCATATGGCAGTCAGCCATGTGGGACCTGGCTTCTTTAACCACTGGGCAATGGGGCCCGCCTTTCTGTGCTCTTACACCGTGGGGACACTGCCCTTCTGGCCCACCCCTCCCCAAACCTGAGCAAGGCCTTCTTGGAGTATGAGTCGTGTGCTCTAAGGAAGCAGCCCCCAGAGCCCCCTAGGCTGACCCTCCTCCCCATTCTCTACCTGGCTCACACCCACCCCTCTCCCCACGGACCCCTGTTGGCTCCAGATGCCAGCACTGTCTTGTTCACCCTGAACTGAGCAGAGCACAGAGCCCCGTGAGGGTGAAGCTGGGCAAGGGTGACTGGGTTAGCACCCGAGTGCCAGCTGGGGCTCGGTGGGTCTGGCCCGGCCTGGCCCGGCCTCCGCAGAGCACAGCAGAGATGGTCAGGGCAGCCTTGTCCTTCATGGCTGGGCTATGCCCCTGGCACCTGGCCGCCTGCTGTCCGAGTTAGAGCAGAACTGTGCCCGCCGCCCACACAGGCTGGCAAGTCCCCCTGCTCTGGAGGTCTCTGGCTCTTTTTACACTCTTAGGCCTCGCCGCGCCCGTGGCGTCCCATGGCAGGTTCAAATGCAGACTTCCGATTGCACCTGAGCCCTGCTTGGGCTGCGCTGGCTGGGTTCCAGGCTCGTCCCTCCCCACAGCATTGCAGTGTTGGACATGTGCCACCCCCTCTGCCCAGCACCACCTGGACTGGCAGTCCGGCTGTACCGTGGGATTGGGTTGAAGCCAGAACGCGGTACAACCCGTGGTTGCTTGTTAACCGGTCCGTTGTATGTAGGAGACGTTCAGCATGTGCTATTGAGCCGAAAGATAAAAACAGGGGAGGCTATTTTAGTAAATTATATAATTACTTTTTTTAGATCTTTGAGGAATACCTAAAGCCTCTCTACTTGGAGATTAAGAAAATGGAAGCTCTTCATTTGAGAACATAAAATGTATCGTTTTTCTTAAGGATTGCTGATATTCTTGAGATCACTGTCCGGGAGCCCTCTCCTGGGAGCCCGCTGCCTGCTCGGTGGAGGTGGCAATGAGCAAGGTTGCAGTTGTGTGACGTCGCCCTCCCTGTGAGTCAGGGCTCCTGTGCCCAAGGTGTGGACAGGTCATCTCGCCCTCCATGGGGTGCTCAGTCCTGACCTGTGATCCCAAAAACACTAATTTGGTTTGGGGCTCCTCATTGTAAGACCAAGTTAAGGACCAGATAAGATTGTGGGTACATAGCCTTCAATTCCTGAAGAAACGGCTTCCCTAAGAACCCAGGCCGTAGAGGGTCACAGGTGGTCGTGTCTGGACACACGGTAATCCCGCCTCCCTCTTCCCTTTCTGAAGTTTCGCTTTAGGGCATGTGCACTCGCTGAAGAGAGACAGAGAGAGAAAGAGGGACAGTGAGAAGCTACCCCCGGGGAATGGCCTCCTCTTGGGATTTTGGGCACTCACACGTGTACGCCTGGCGTGATTTCCAATCCCCTGGGTCCAGGACTGGAAACAGTCAGTGGCCATGTGGGATCCTGCTGTCCTAACCACCGCCGGCCAGCTCCCTTTTTCTTTTTTAATTGCCAGGGCGTGTGTCCACGTGGCAGATGGACGGGGGGCAGGCGGGGGGCGGAGAAGCACCTCTCAGTGGGGCGTGGCACACTGCACCCCCTTCTTCTCCGTCTCTCCATCCTGTTGGGGGTGTCTTCCAAGCCACTGGAGCTGGGGTGCGAACCACGTCAGCCATGTGGATCTGGCTCCCTCAACGACTAGGACAAGGCCGCCTATAACCCTGTCTCTTTCCAGAAAGTACTTGCATTCCAAGTACTAGAGGCCCCTGCTTTGGCTTGGAGCCAGGGACAGGTCTCCCAGGGCTGGGAGAGCTATTTATAGCTAAGCCTTCTGGCTGCTTCCCTTGTTCGCCTGGACTGGGGGCGGGGAGCAGCCTCACATGACAATGAAAGCTAGGCTGGAACCCGCCTCACTGCCCCCCTGCCCTGTGTGATCTTGCTCAAGCGACTTAACTTTTCTAAACTTTGGTTTGTTTTTTTTCTGACTTGGCCTGGCTGTGAAGATGAAAAGAAACCATGAAAATCAAGTGTCTGAGCATAGTAGGTGCTCAGTAAACCAGGCTCTGTCACCGCTCCTCCTGTCATCCGCAACACCATTCCAGGCATTAGGGCCCACTGGGGCTCCCAGAGGTTAGTTCCGAGACAGACGAGCATCAGAATTGGAGTCGTTTAGAACACATGTAACGAAGCTGGAAATACGCTTCTTCTGACGTGGTTTGTTGAGTTCCAAACTGGGGTAAGAAGACATGTATGAGATGCTCCTCGGAGACTCTGAAGCTGGCAATCCGATTCAACAAGGAAGGGGCTGGGCCTCGGGAAGTTAGGGCACCCACAGTCCTGGTTCCATAGTGACCCAGCGCCAAGTCAGGGTTTCCCTGCTATAGTAAGGTCTCTGCCCGCTCTTAGCCGAGACTGGTGCATGTCGCAGCTGACTGCAGGGACGTGAGCAGTTAATGTTTTGTGCTCGCGTACGTCATCGGGGGCGGTTGGCAACTTCTAAGCCAAAATGAAAGAAAACTCTCCTGTCCTAATTGTTTATTCGTTAAGGATGTCTGCAGTCCTGTCGGCTGTAGTGGCCCATGCCGGCCCGTTCTGAGTGAGATGACTGTAGAGAACTCTTACTTTCAAGAAAGAAGGAAACATGATTTCTATCCTCCCTTGCAGGATGTAAAATTAGTCCTAAGAAAAACGTTCCCCAAATTTGGATTAAAAACAGAAATAGAAAGTTTATCCTCCAAACGTTTAACATTATGATTAATAAGGATCCCAAAGAGACTGCTGACTATAGCATATAAATATTCCAGTAAAGCAATATTGAGATTAAAAATTCAAATAGCAAAAAAGCAAAATAAACTACTTTGTGTAATATAACTTTTATAACTTTCATAAAATTAAAAATGTAAATATCAAGTATTGGGTGCTTATGAAAATTCTAAATAAAATATTTTTTCTGTTTCATGAACTGTAGTTTCTATGCCTGTGAAAATGCCTGCTAATTCCTGGTAACTGAAGTTTGTAATAAGGATTACAGATTCTGAATAGAAACTGTGAGCTGTACTCGGATTACATTTTTGTCTTAAAATTATATTTAATGTTGGATTAGCTCTCATCTTGTTATCATCCCACTGAAAACACAATTCCTCACTATAATTGTTCACCAAAATGAGAACTAGAGAATTACAGCTGATCCGGAGTACCCAAAACAAGTAAGTTTCTAAAACTTACATAAGTAAAAAGTCCCCGTAGTGTCACTGAGGTAGTGCTCTTGTAAAAATTATTTAGCTTTAAAATGACGAAGTCTATCAAAATACAGAGTGCCAGAAATAATATTGCTCCTGTATACCCACTGCCAATATTTTAAAGTTATTTAATTTTATTGATTGTTATTGCTGTTTTCCAGTTTTACCAGAGAGATGGAGAAAGACAGAGGGAAAGTGAGAAGGCAACCGCGACCGGCCATGTGGGGCCCAGCGCCTTTAACCACCGTGCCGCCTGCTGGCCCCCGCTGCCAGGACTGAACCACTTGCTGTATTGGCTTCAGTTTTTTTTTTTTAATAAGCTGTCTTTTTCAAAGATGATTTTATGCTTTTAGCATAGGTTGGTGCTCCCAGGCCCTCCAGTCTGCACAGGGCGCGCCTCGGAGACACCTACTGCTGGACACTCACTGCCCTGGTGGGCGTAACCCGTGCCCGGCCTTCTGCTCGCCTTGCTTAGGCTGGAGAATGAGGAGGGAGCAGAGGGGTGGCCTGAAGGCAGCGTGAAGAGCTGCGTGTGGGGAGCGGGTCCACACTGCTCACTGTGTCCCGAATCCTGGAGGGAGGGGTACCGGCGTGGGACCACACCTCACTGAGGGTGCTTTCTCTCTCCTGCTCCGTCTCTTTGGAAAGTACACACACCCTCTGGTAAAACAACAAAATAAAAACAAACAAAAAGCAGAGTGAGCTCTTGGTAGGAAAGCTTCCAGTTTAGTTAAGGTGTGGAGATGGGCCCAAAGTCTGCGAGACCCTTGGTAGGGCTGAGCACTGCGGAGTGGATCTCGGTTTGAGTCTCTGGCCTGGTCAGCCTGAAAAGCAGGTGTGTGCACCTACAGGGGATCTTGGCAGGCTGGAGGATTGGGGGACAGGGATCGGGTGTGATGGCCCTGTGGACATGCCTCTCTCTCGTGCACACAAGTGCACTCTGTCATTAATTGTAAAAATAAAATAAAAACCCTTAAAATGATGCCTTTTTTGGTATAGTATTTTAACTGACAATGGACAGAATGAGGTAATTCCAAACATACAGTGTGTGTGTGTTTTATTTAAGAAACTTTTGTACATAGTTCTGAAAAGGCCGATGTAGTCAGCTCTAAGTTTGGAAGATCAAATCATTTAACATGAGACCACAAACCAGTTTCAGAACACAGAGATCACTCACGGGGGACTTCTGTGAGATTTTGTGTGCTACTGTGTGGAGGGTTTCAAGCCCAGGTGTCGCATGCGTGGAGCAATGCTTGGGCCTCTTCTCAGCAAGGACCAGGGTACCCGAGGCAGAGCTTAGAGCCAGCCAGGGATTTGCAGTGTAGACAGTGCCCCGCGTTGTACTGCCG